TTTTGTCAGGTGGTGGTTCTGAGGATTGAAGTCAGGGCCTTGTGCTTGCTAGGTAAGCACACTACCACTTGGGCCACACTCCCAGTCTTTTTGCTTTTTGTAATTTATCTGATAGGGTCTCAAGTCTTGAATCACGATTCTCCTACCTCTGCCTCCCAAGTAGCTGGGATTATAGGTGTGAACCACCATACCCATATTAAACTAATATTCTGTCTGATAACAACTGAAACCCCAGAGTGTATTTTATGAGGCTTTTTCTTTCTTTTGCCTCAGTCCTGGTCTTCTGCAGCTGCCTGAGCTCCATCAGGCTGGGCTCTCTGTCTTCCCAAGCAGTCCTTCAGTTAAGCTTGCCAAAACTATCTACCTTTCTTTTAAAAATCTGGTTTTAACTGTCTGCTACTGAAACTTCAGTGTGTCTTACCCTCACCCACTTGCAGATACACCTGCAAGTCTTTAGTGTGGGGTCACTGTATCTACTACCTGTGGAACGAGAGTTTTCTCTGTTGCTATTGTTTATCAGATATTGGATTTTCTTCTGCCCTTCACCTAGATGAGGGCTCTACAGGTATGATTGTTCTACTGTCTCAGGTCCTCTGGTGTCCAAACCCAGAGAAAATGTGGCTCACCAGGGCCAGTCAACAAATGTTAGGGCAAAGTCAGGAACCTAGAGCTAGCAGATCTCCAAGTGGAGTTTCTCTCCTCTACTGTAAATTGTCTTTCTAAGATGCTGATGACTCCTTCTCCTCTAAATAACCTTCAGGACTCCCTGATGAGGAAGTGCTTTCCTCCAAAGAAACTAGAAGGGAAAGGGTTTTAGAATAAGGGGGAAATTTTTGTATCTACTGACAAGTCTAAGTCTTTCTACTGTAAAAACACAGAGGACTGCCTCTAGTTAAGCAGTAAGTTTGCCCTTCCAAACTTGGCCCATTTATTGACTACCTTCTTTGTACTGGGCCCTCTGCCAGGTAGAGCACTTTGGCAACTTCTTACATTAGATAATATGTTGATTTACAGTAGAAGACATTTCTGGTTGACAAATTTCTTTTTGGTGGTACTAGGGTTTGAACTCAGGGCCTTGTGCTTGTTAGACAGGTGCTCTACCACTTGAGCTAGTGCACCAGACCTTTCTTGTACTCAGTATTTTCAAGACAGGGTCTCACGAAGTATTTGCCTGGGCTGGCTTTGAACCAAGATCCTCCTGATTGCTGCTCCTAAGTAGCTAGAATTACCAGTGTGAGCCACTGGCACCAGGCCCAGTTGACAAAATTCCATCAATCCAGTGTCATACTTCATTACATCTAAGAAGACAGCAAATGGGGAATCCACCATTATTTTCCATAATGCCAAGAAGGAAAAGAATACTGTCACTTAAACTCTGCTATCAACCGATTAAAGACACATCCTAGTCTCAAAGTTATTAAGGCTTAAGTGTATTTTGACTCAAGAATATGGTAAATGATCACCCAAATGATCACCTTTTCAAGTTCACTTCCAAGTTCAGGTTGATTTTCAGTTGTGGTACACCTGTAACAATACTTTGTTTTTGAACAGACTCATGCTTGCAAGCCATTTAATGATGACTTATCCATTTAGAATTTTTTTTCCCTCTCTTGAAAATGTGATGTAGTTGTCTAGGGGAACTAAAAGTCACACTTGTCACTTATAGAATATACTGCCAGGGCTCAGTGTCTAAGGGGTTTCCCCAGCAACACAACAAAAGCAGAAACCACTCTGAACTCTCCCACCCTTTTTATTTTATTTTTTTACAACTGCTAGGGCTTTTGTGGAATGTTAAGGGAGAAGGTCACTCAATGAAAGAGCCCCTCTGTGTTGTGGTGCCCTGCCACCCTGGGAAATGAGATAGGGTTACTCCAGAGGGACACCTGGTACTGATTGTCTCAGCTGCTTTTGATTCAAAAGCCACAGTGTCATAGGATTATGGGGAAGAGGAAAATCAGCACATTTGGCACCCAGGGGAATAGCAACTACCAACCTGCAAAAACAGGCAATAGCCAGGGTGGTCTACTATTCAATCATTCATCAAAATGCATTCCAAATTGCATTCTTTTCTTTGTCAAGCAGTTAAGACCAACTGGGAACAGGACTTCTGAAAGGAAGGAGACACACTGTTCTTTTTCTTTTTTCTTCGTTTTCTTGTTTTGAAGACAGAGTTTTACTACACTTACTGTGTAGTCCAAAGCCAGCCTCAGTCTGGGATTATAGGTGTGAACCACCACATATGCAAGACCACACCATTTTTTTTTTTTTATTGTTTTATTATTCATATGTGCATACAAGGCTTGGGTCATTTCTCCCCTCTGCCCCCACCCCCCCTTACCACCCACTCTGTCCCCTCCCTCTCCCCCCACCCCCTCAATACCCAGCAGAAACTATTTTGCCCTTATCTCTAATTTTGTTGAAGAGAGAGTATAGGCAAAATAGGAAGGAACAAGTGTTCCTGGTTGAGATAAGGATAGCTATACAGGGAGTTGACTCACATTAATTTCCTGTACTTGTGTGTTGCCTTCTAGGTTAATTCTTTTTGATCTAACGTTTTCTCTAGTTCCTGGTCCCCTTCTCCTATTGGCCTCAGTTGCTTTTAAGGGATCTGCTTTAGTTTCTCTGCATTAAGGGCAACAAATGCTAGCTAATTTTTTAGGTGTCTTACCTATCCTCACCCCTCCCTTGTGTGCTCTCGCTTTTATTATGTGCTCAAAGTCCAATCCCCTTGTTGTGTTTGCCCTTGATCTAATGTCCGCATATGAGGGAGAACATACAATTTTTTATCTTTTGGGCCAGGCTAACCTCACTCAGAATGATGTTCTCAATTCCATCCATTTACCAGCGAATGATAACATTTCATTCTTCTTCATGGCTGCATAAAATTCCATTGTGTATAGATACCACATTTTCTTAATCCATTCATCAGTGGTGGGGCATCTTGGCTGTTTCCATAACTTGGCTATTGTGAATAGTGCCGCAATAAGCATGGTGTGCAGGTGCCTCTGGAGTAACCAGTCTGTTTGGTATATCCCCAAGAGTGTATTGCTGGATCAAATGGTAGATCAATGTCTAGCTTTTTAAGTAGCCTCCAAATTTTTTTCCAGAGTGGTTGTACTAGTCTACATTCCCACCAACAGTGTAAGAGGGTTCCTTTTCCCCCATCCTCGCCAACACCTGTTGTTTGGTGTGTTGCTAATGATGGCTATCTAACAGGGGTAGGTGGAATCTTAGTGTGGTTTTAATTTGCATTTCCTTTATTGCTAGAGATGGTGAGCATTTTTTCATGTGTTTTTTTGGCCATTTGAATTTCTTCTTTTGAGAAAGTTCTGTTTAGTTCACTTGCCCATTCTTTATTGGTTCATTAGTTTTGAGAGAATTTTTGTTTTTAAGTTCCCTATATATTCTGGTTATCAGTCCTTTGTCTGATGTGTAGCTGGCAAATATTTTCTCCCACTCTGTGGGTGTTCTCTTCAGTTTAGAGACCACTTCTTTTGATGAACAGAAGCTTTTTAGTTTTATGAGGTCCCATTTATCTATGCTATCTCTTTATTGCTGTGCTGCTGGGGTTTCGTTGAGAAAGTTCTTGCCTATACCTACTAACTCCAGAGTATTTTCCTATCTTTCCTGTATCAACTTTAGAGTTTGAAAGACCACACCATTTTTAAACAGAGAGCCTTCAGGCCCCAGCAGACTTAATGGGTGTGGACAAGGGCCCATTCACCAGTCCTAGGTAATGAGCCAGAACTCTGGAATGAAATATCTAGCCTCTGCTGTTCAGCAGTGTGGAGTGACACAAAGATTGTGAAGACCCTTCCTTGAGTGAGCACAAGAACAAAGTCCAGGATGTTCTGCTGGCCTTGGTCTTCTGAGAGACAAGCATGGGCATGATGGTGGCCTTGCAGAGCATGCCTCTGCTGACTGCTCACCCAGCTCTGGGGTGGTTCCCTGAAGGTGCATTGAGAAAGGGACACACGGCAGACCCAAATCACCCAGGATGGGAAGGGAACTGGTGACCACGCTCCTGTTTCTCCGCCCTTTGAGTCATTTAAAACTGTTTCCTGTGGTGAGTACAGCCTCCCACCCCTCTGTCCCTCAGTCAACGAAACAGAAAGAAACAACATGGCATTGCCCAGCTCTTTCAGGTCAGGTAGCCCACACTGTCAAAGAGCCAACTCATTACTCTTCCTTCAGACCAAGAGGGGAGCATGGGGTCGGGGACAGGGCCATCGCTTTAAGAGGAGAACTGGGGTACAGCAGGGGGAGGCAAGTGGGGCCAAATCATACCTGCATTTGTCTTGTTCCTTTCCCCATTTTTCTGCAGCTTTTTGGCAGCAGAAAAAAATGCCCCTTTACAGACATTGAGTGTGCACTGTGGTGGCCAGGTGCTGTTTGGAAGGTGCTCTGTAGGTTCATAATTAATTAACTTTCATCGGCACTTTTGGCTTGGAAAGAACTAGCTCCTTTGTCCAGGGTCGCATACCTACCTAAAGAGGCCAAGGGGAAGGTCCTAGTAGGGCAGGACTGTGAGCAGTGGACATGGGCAGTGGTGATGGAGAAGCTGTGAACCCAGCCCAGTGTTGCTCCATGGAAACTGAAGTCTTAGGACTGCATGTGGGAGGAGCAGATTAGAGGAAGGATGGAAGTAAGAAAGAGAGGAGAAAGGAGGAAGTGTGAGCATTCAGAGCAGAAAGGAAAGGAGCACACAGCATCGAGGAATGAGAAGCCAAAGAGAGGGTACTCTGAAGGGGCCAAGAAAACGATGAGCCAGGAGAGCCACAGGCAGTCTTCAGAGAGCCACAAAATCATTTGCTTAATAACAAGCAAGTCACCATGTTGGAATTTGTGGTGCTGGTAATCCAGGTTTGAAAAAGTAGTCCATAATTTGCCCATTTTCCATGGAAAACCAAGTGCAAAACATTTTTAGAACAAGCAGAAAGTTGCACGAGGATTTGCTCAATGTTGTACCAAGCCTTAAAGCCTTCTGTCCTTTGTCACAGGGAGAACCAGGAAGCCCCATGATGTGCCAGCTACAGGAGTTGAATCTGTGGGTCTCAGAGGGATCCTGACCAAGGAGGCAACGCATGCCCTGGCCTATTTCTGTACAACAGGGTGGAAGAGTACAGTGACTGGATCATGTCCCAAGCTAAGAGGGCCGGCCCTTCCCTGACCGCTCCCCCTGGGAGAAGATGATCCCCATCCTCTATTACAAATCACAAACTGTCATAACACAGAGTATGCGTTCTGAAACAGACCACATGGAATGGACCCAATCTCCTCCCAAGGACAGAAAGGTCCACTTTCATTTACGGCTGGTGAATGGGCTCTCGAGATGGCCAAAACTTTAGGGTAAAGGGACTCCAGGAATCAGACAGGACCGTGCAGGAGGCCATTCAACCTATGACTATGACTACTATGGCGGGGAGTCTGAGGAGGCTGGGTCTGTTGCAGGGCAGAACAGGCTGCATCAGCCCCAAGAAATGGCTTGCTTTCTTCGTGCTTGTGTCTTTGGCACGTGTCTAGTCTGGGAGCTAACCTACCCCACTGAAAGAGAGAAGCACAGAGTACTGGCATTCCACCACACTGTCTAGTGTCTGTTTTGGATGGGTGCATGCCTGGGCTGCCACGGACAGCCCATGGACGCACGGGACTGGCTTCTCCCTCCTCTGTCTCACTCCCACATGTGGAAGGTCACTTTCGTTTGTGCTTGTGAACTCATGTGGGCTAACAAGTGTCAAATTGTTAGAGTGCCCTGTGGTTCTTTCAATGGTAACGGTTCCAGAGACCAGGCTGGGAAGACACTTCCCATGGGCAGATGTGGCCCAGGAGGTGACAGTCAGCCTGGCTGGATAGTTGGAGGGGGGCAGCCAGCACAAGGAAAGTGAGAGGACCCACAACTAGAAAAGACAGAGTACTTTAATGGAATCATGTCTTGGTTCCCAGGCCATGGCCTTTCCCTGCTATTTCCCAGAGCGACAGATGGCCTGCAACTGCTCACTGCTTGTTTTCATTTTATTCCAAGTCTTTCGGTGGCCTTTTAAGGATATCTGTGAAACAGAAAAAGGGGGAGGGGAGAGGTCACTTGGGAAAAACTAAGTGTGGCTATTCTAAATACAATGTCTCTAGCCTGCTGAGGGTGCAGGTGGACCATGTGGGGGCAGTGCCACTGCAGTGCCCTGCTGTGGGGCAGGGCCACCCACTCACCCTGAGACTCTCAGAAGTGAGACATGGCAGGTTCCTGCTGCCATTCTCTACTGCTTCAACAGTTCCTGATTCAAAAGGCCCATGTTTGGATCCTAATTTCCTCCTTGCCACCAAATGATCACAAAGGGAGGTGGAGGAAGTGTCGGGAATGAAGCTGGATCTAGAGGTGAAGACCAGGCTCCCAGTTTTCCAAGCAGCCTTAATGATGTCTCGGTTTGCAAGTGGCCTTGTGGCCTTGTGCTGTCCTTTTTTCTGGCAGTGTGTGTTGCTTTCACATTGCCCTTTTCTTGTCCACAGCTTCTTAGGGGCCAGGGTGCTCTCTGTGCACAGTGAATCACACCGAGGCTGTGGGTGGGCTTACAAATGCAAGACCTGTGGCACTATATATATGCATGGAATCAGGTTCTGCACATTTAAAATTCATTATTTTCTCATTAAAAAACCCCCAAAACTGAGTTTTCCATGTAGAAGTAGCAATCACTGGGGAATCAGAAGCTTCTAGGATTCATTATGAAATAAATGACTAAAAACACTATTACAAAGGTCTCTTCCTGATGAAAAGACCTGGTCCGAAACAATGAAAAAGGAGCTTAAAAGAAAATCCCTCATATGATATAACAGCTGAAGCAATTTGCTGACATTTCTCACAGACATAATATATCCAAACATCTCTCAAATCTTAACTCAAAAAAACCCACAACCCTAAAACAAAGTAGTGGACCTGAAAGACTCAGGAACCCTGTGGACAGCATGGGGTCGACTAGGTTCGACCTGGCCCTGGGATCTCCAGGACTCACTCTGGCAATCTCCACTTCCTCTCCCACATCTTGATGGTCTTCTCCAGATCTCCAATTAGGATCTTCTCTCTGAGATACACCATTCACCTGTGGTGCTCGGAACTCAACGCCAGCTGCTTCTTAGCTTTCTTATTCAAAGCTTCTGCTTTGGCCCTGTCCTGGTTTGACAAAGATGTAGGGTATCCCAGGGAAACTTGGAGGCTCCTGCTTTGAGGACTTGCTGGCCCCTTGCACCGTTCCTCAGAGTCTCAAAGCAGTCTAAAAATGTTTTTGCTCAGAATTTTATTTTATTTATTATTTATTTCGCTGTCACTGGGGATTG